CGCGGGGGCGGCGGCGGAGGCTGCTGGGCTCCATCCACGGTGGCCGGAGCGGTCCCCGGGTGTCGCCCCCTCCCCCAGGGGATGCTGCTGGCGATAAAACAGGGAAAAGTCTCCGACGACTTTGGCCAACGACTTAAACCGAGCTCATTCGTACTCCTCCGTGCGCGAAAGCCACCGCTGCCCCGGACCCGCGGCTGCCCCGTCCCCTTCCCACGACACCGAAGTCTTCAAAACCCCCAAAGGTCTCCCGTTTCACCCAGACACAACCGCACCCTCCCAGCGCCTGGGGACCGAGACCTGCCCCGCAAGCGGGGGGGGACACTGGAAAAGGCTGTCCCCAAAACTGCTGTCCCGAGGCAGGGCCACGCGGGCGCTTTGGCAGGGTGGCCTGGGACGAGCCCGCCCCGCACTTGGGGTTTAAAGCACACGGCAGGTAAAGAAAATCTCACTCCGGGGCAAAGCTCTGCTGAAGCTGCTGCTTCCAACAGGGCTGGTGCCGCGCACGGCCGGGTGCTCGCGGCCGCGCAGGTTCGGGCTGCAGATGTGCAGTAAAAACCAGGGGGAGATTCTCTGATCCATCTTTTTCCCCCCTCCCACGCTAGGGCAGCGGGTTTCTCAGCAGCTTGCGCTGTGAAGCCGATGCTCAGCAGCGGGACGCAGCAGTTTGAAACACGGAGCAGGGCTTGAAAAACCCGCCTGTCCCCCCGTGCCCCGATCCGGGTTCAAGGGCAGCTCTCGGAGGCAGCTCCGGACTGACCCCGTGCTACCGACGCTGCGAGGACAGACCTGTCCCAAAGCACCCAAAAACCCGCGTGTCCTTCGAAGTGCGTCCAACCCAGTGGGGGAGCGGGTTTTTTTAAGGGTGGTCGAAAGGTCTCCTCTTCGTACATCCTCTTTACAAACAGCTTTTAGAGGCTTTTCTGCGTAATGATCCGAAAGGGACCGTGCGCATCCAGCCCCAGTGGCACTGCTGCTGCTGAGAAATCCCTCGGTCCATTAAAAATATTACACAGACCCAAGCAGCATGAAACTCACCTTTGTGCGAAAGCCTGTTTTTTAAGTTAAGCCTTTTGAAGTTTAAGCCAAAAAGGTTTAACACCAAGCCCTACCATTTGAGCTTTTTTGGCCTCAATTTTAATACTCTTGGAGGTGGAAGGCAGGCGCTCAGACGCCTCGGAAAATCCCGGCTTTCCACAGGCGGTTTGAATGACTAACGTGCAATTAAACCTCCTTGGCCCCGCGCAAGGCAGCCCAGCCACCTCCGAGCCAGCGGCACTGCGGCCCTGCTACATCGTCCTCGCTCCCAATCGGGTCTCCTCAGCCTCCGGCACAGGGGTTTGTCTGCTCCCCCCCATTGTCACCTGCTGGGTCAGGACCGATTCTGTCCCCTTTGAGGGACGACAGCCAGAGCTGGACACCATTCCCGACGAGGACACGCAGGGCTTCGCGGCCATCCCCACCTCAGCGCCTTGCGTGCGACCGTGACCGCTGCACACCCGGGCTGCAGCTCTGCTCCCGTGACTGAGTTTCCCCTCGTTCACCTACGAGTAGCAACTTAAATCAGCAAATCATGTCCACGGCCAAGCATCCCCAGGGAAAATGCCGCTTAAGTGGCATTATGGCGAACTGGCCAGAGCTGCTTTTGGGAAAGATCTTACGAGCTATTTATAGTTCAAAAAAAACCTATTAAGAAAACTAGAAATGCACTTCCCCTGCAGTCCAAGCCATGCGTAAGAGCAGGAGTTAAGCCCTTCACATTTTTCTGCCTGAGGCCAGGCTTCTTTCCAAAAGACCTGCACCACCTCGACCAGGTGGCGTCCGAGGTGCGTGAATTTCAGCCGTGGAAATCACAGATGTTGTATCAGTTCAATTACACCCTAAAAACCCCCTCCAGCCTCAAGAGGAAGCTATGCCCGGTGTTGCTGTACACAACGTGAGACCCTCCAATACAGGATCAGAGCATTTTCAAGAAAGGCTAGAGGTGCAAGAGGCCAGATGTAATTCATTTTTCATCGTAACAACAACAACAACGGTAATAACAACTTCATTGGGTACAACTCAAACTTGCTGTGCCAGGAGCAGGTCACAATCCATAAATCTGTAGTGATGCCACTTAAAACACGGTCCCTCACACTCCGTGTCTCGGAAATGTCATCACCAACGATGCTTTCGTGAGCTCCGGCCAGGCGTGCAGCTTGCGTTGCAATCCACCCTTCCCTAAGCGAAGAGAGAAACTGCACCAAACGTGCCCGTTATCTGCCTCGGCAGCTGAAGACAGGAGACAGATCTTTGAAAAAAAAATTATTTTATTGGAACTCATCTGAACATCAGATATACCTGGTGTTGGTTAGCAAGAACCGTTTGTACATTTGATATTGATGGTGCCAAAACCCAAACAGCGACTGACTGGATGAGATGGAAAGTTAAAAATAAAATAAAATAAAATGTCGGAGAGGTTAAAATGCGAACAGAAAGCAGAAAAAAATCAGCCAGTCTAAGATTCAGTGTGAAGGCAAAATATTTCCTGATAAAACAGAATCCTTTTACAAAATATAAATTTCGTAAGAAAAACGTGGAGAGGGAAAGAGAGGCAGAGGGGAAAGGAAAAATAAAGATTAGCAGGACAGAGATGCAGAAGCTTACACTGCCCAAATGGCATTAAAACCTAGCTAGTAACCTCACCATAAAATGAAACATGCTGGAATACACCGTGCTCCACCCCCCACACATATGACTTTGGAACAGTAACGAGGAAGCTCCCCAGCGAGCGCTGCACTAGGTTATTCCAGAAGGGCCAAGCTGTCTCACATCGGATGTTGAAAAAAGAAAAAGAAAAAAAAGGAAACACTAACGCAGCAGAGGTAAATAACGACAGTCTGATCGGCGCCCGGGGCAGCGGCTCGCCTCCCCGCCGGATGAGGTTTGGCTCCCGCAGGGAGGCGAGGACTGGGGGAACGCCTGCTCACCTGTTCTTCCTACCAATGCAGGTGGGGGGGAGGGATAAAACATTTAAAATCTAGTCTATTTTAAAACAATAGCATGCAATACAGGCCTCCAGGGGAAACCTGCGCTGTTCCCTTTATTAGAAACTGGCCTAATGGTCTAGACAGTGGCTGCAGCCCTCTCGAGGTTTTTGGCTGCGCAGGGCGGGTCCGGGCTAGCGCAGCACAATGACAATTCTGAAGCAGGTTCCTCGGGTGCGAAAGCCTTCAGGAAAATCATTGTGGAGCTGCTTTCGAGGGGATCCGAGGCCTTTAAGATTTGAAAATAAACCAGCAGTCTGTACATTTTGGGGTTTTTTTTGGTTCAGTACAAATGGAATAAACTCGGCTGCTTATACACCGTCAGTAAGTCTCAGATTTCAGAGCAGAGGGAGGGATGAAACAAACTTGTTTTGGGCACCTATTGGTAACAAAACTTTGTCCCTGCTTAACTCTCTGCCATCCCTCAGGAAGTGGAAAGCACATGTTTAGGTAGTGTAAGCCTTTTTCCTTTTATTTAGAATACCCTCTTTGTTTAAACAATATTCCCCCCCCAGATACAAAGTTCGGCCAGTAAAGATTACATGGAAACTGGAACACGCATCGTATGGAATACAAGATGCACTGGATGAGGAAGTTTAAAAACTTTCCGAGCGAAAAGTAGAACAAAGAAAAAAAAGTCTCCTAACATTTTCCCAAAGGTTTCACTCTCCTGTCACACACACTCTCCAAATGACAGCTAGCAAATTCAACTCTGCAAAAAGAAAACAGAGCCACGTCAATCGAGAGGAGAGAAAACAAGCCTCAAGGACACAAACCGCACCTTGGCCTGGGAGGAGCGATAGGTCCGGAGCAGCTGCGACCTCCGGCTCCTGCCTCCACTCACCTATGTTAGCTTCTTGGCTTTGTTGTAGAGCGAATCCACTACTTTACTCATATTCTGAATAGTCTCGAGGGCAGCTTCGTAAGTTTTGTCTACGGGGGGTTCGTCGAAGATGATCAGGACTCCCTCGCCTTGGTCAAGGATGCCTGCGGACACAAAGCTGCGGTTACCAGTGTAACGCTCGACAGATCACATCTTCCAGACAGCAGGAATTTAGGGATCTACCCAGCAAACGGCCGGTCAGCTGCGCTGGGTTTGGAAGGGGCTCGTGTGTTGTACTGGACTGGCTGGCTGATTTTTGTCTGGACTGCATTAGCAGTAGCTTACCCAGAAAAAAAAAAAAACCACGTCCTGGGGAGGGGCCCGAGAAGACATCCAGGAGATGCTTATGCACATTCCCTAACGGCTACCTTCCTCCTCCAGGCCCCTGTGCCCAGCAGGATGGCTCAGCACAACACTGGAGCAAGGCAAAAAAAAAAAAAAGCCATTTCATAATTAAACTATTTCCAGGTGCCAGATGGGCACCGCAGCTGGGTTCTGTAATTTCTGAGCTATTCTCTAACCAGTATGTCTCAGCCATTCATCTTGCTCAGCTAGCTCAAGAGGGCCTTCTAAATTGGCAGTAGGGTCTCGCAACTGTCCTCGGATGCAGCCGCAGCGAGTAAGGGCTTAAATGTGGTTTCTGATTTGTGAGAAATTAAGCCTTGAGCTTAATGAAGGCAGATGGAGGGAGCAATAGGAACAGGCTTCATGACAACAGAGTAACAAATAAACCCACTGCTCACTGCTCTCCCCACAGTGCCTGTTAACCTGCGCGTCTGCCACCTGAAGCAGGATGTCTAAGGAGGACGCTCGAGGCTCGAAGGTGCGGTGATAAAGGGGGGTCTACCCACAGCTTGCCGACACACGACCTGGCCTTGGGCAGCAAAGCGGTCAAGACTGAAGGATGCAGAGACTCACCATGAAATTTCTTGTCCAAGATCATCTGTGACAGTTTCCTTTCTACCTCAGCCTGAAATTGAAGCAGAAAAATTAAAAGTCTCCCGGAACTATATAAAGAAATGTGAATTTTACTACTCCACACTCAACAGCCCTGGCGGGATATAAGCACTGCTTAACAGCAGCTATTTTATCACTGAACACGATGTCAGGACAGATCTCTCCTTGCACGCTGCTTTGATACTACCATACGCTTTAGATGACATCGGAAATTAAGCAGTAGCTTTTAATGAGGAGAGTACCAGGATGCCTTGCCCTCTCGTTCCACAGAAGGCGGTGTACCTGTCATTCCATACAGGCATTACTCATTAGGGGATCTGGAGCACTCTAGCTTGGTTCAGCAAATATTTAATCAAGTGTTGGCCAAGCTTCATTTAAGCCACTCAGTAGGGAGCTGACCTCCTGCCCAGTGCCAGGCAGGGCCCCGCAGGAGTCAGCTCCTCTTCTGCTCTTTGGACAGAGGACACACAGCTGCAGTTAAGAAACAACTGCAGTCCAGCTTTTACTCAAACTAGTAAGTATATGTTAAACACCAAGGGCTAGACTAGAAAAAGACTGCACGGATAGGAAAGGAGGATAGATGATGCAACGACCACGAAGGCCGAGCTCAGGACACTTCCAAACCTCCGGCCTTAATAGCAACACAGGACAAAAGCACTTCAGGATGCAACTGGCTGGGACTACAGTGGATTCTCCTAAAACTTAATCTGGTTGGGATTATCTGTAAAGCAGTTATTGCAGTAGTCAGCGTGACACGTGCATCCCTAATGAAACTTCAGTCAAAGTGATTAGCTAGATCCTGTATCTTACGGGTCTAAGAAAGATTCCTCTGGGCACGCTCACAAGGATTAAATGCAGGTCAACGGGGAAGACTGAGCTGGTCACGACGTGAGCTGCTACTACAGCAGAGGAAAATCTGTTTCCAATAAAAAGCAAGTGCTAACACAGGGAGTAAAACCCATGGGAAAGAAGGCGATGTTACAGCAAAGTCTTAGTGCAGAGGAAGCCTGTCCGATGGCTCCTGGAAACTGTCTGTGTTAAAGTTAAGATCCCAAGAGCGACATTTGCCTGTAAATGCTGTGGAGCTGACCTGTCAGGTTTAATAGCCTACATTTATTTCCCAGTGGCAAATGCCATTTGACCTCAATTCCTTTGCCCTCTTAAGACGTGCCACTGATTTCTAGTGATGTTCTTACCTTTGAGAGCTTGATGAGGCTGGATATGTGTTCAATCTATAAGAGAGACCAAGAGTTAAGTAAATCTTTAGCTGTACTTCTGACACGCAACATGGAGGTGCGGGGCTCTTCCAAGGAAGAGCTCAAGGGCCTGTAAACGCTCTGGCCTAAAAACCTCCAATGGCTTTCTCTGCTTTGCAGCTTCATGTCCTTGAGATTTCATATCCAATTTTAACTGAAGATGGACTAGACACCTAAAGCCATTTCACTCTGAAACATGAAGTAACATTTCTTCTCCAAGATTATTGCAGCTTTACCCACACCCTGTCAGAGCCCTTAAAAGCCAAACACTGTTACCTTCAGCGTTAAAAGCACGTCCACCTTTCAGTGTGCGTAAGTGAAACAGGTGGAAAGGGCAATGACTCTGGAACGTGGTTTTCCAAAGTTCCCCTCAGCCCCCTCCTTATCATTTTTCAGCTGAACACGATGAACCCTGAGCTCTGGAAGTGCTGAGCGGCTCCAAGTAGGGAGTACTTTGTATGGGAACAAGTCCCTCGCCCACCAACAGCAGGGGACAGAGGTACCAGCATGTCGGTGTGCTTGCTGGAAACATTTACCTGTACTCTGGAGAAGGGTTCGATGACTCTGATCAGATTCTGTTCCAATAAGTTATCATAGAGCTTAGCCAAGTGAGTGTTTATGATGGGGTCGTCCCTGAGCTCCACCTTATAGTCTGTCAGAGCCTGTGGAAGACACGGTGGGAACAAATAATTCAGGTGGCAACAGGTCTCCTGTCCTCAAGGCCCTCTGAGTATGAAGTAGTCTTCCCTCCCTGCCCAGCAAAGTATCAGTGGTTAATCCAATCCCGTAACTCAGCGAAAAGGCCAGGGGAGGTCATGACAGCCTACAGCCTTTCAAGCACCGTGCAGCAAGCATCTTTCATCTTTACACTGCTGGAGCTTAGCAAGCCAGAATCTCTGGCTTACACTCAGGAGACAGCATGACAGGATTGTTCCCTGACACGAGAGCCCTCTCTGTTATCTCTGTGGTGCTCTTGCTGAAGCCAGGAAAAACATTAGGAAGATATACATCCCAGTGAACAGCGCCAAAAGTACAGGAAACTGCTTCTGAGTTCGCTCTCCAAAAAAAGGGAAAAAAACTATAGTTTCAAGCAAGCTATTACTCCCCACGCTCCAAAAACCAAACCAATTGACTACTGTGGGGTATTTGCTTGATGCACTGTTGCTTCCTATGAATGTGTTTATGGTTTCCTGCCGTGGGATGTAGCAGCTCCTACAACTTTCCAAAACTGGTATTTCCAAATGTTTTGTCCAGCCAGGCCCCATTTTTTATCTGTCTCCTGACTCACCTTTTCAAAATCAGCCAGCGATCGGTTCTTACTGGCCTGTGCCACACATTTTAGTGCTTCTGTCTGCAGAGAAAGGAAACGAGAGTAGGTTATTTTTCTGGATTCTCCTCTCAGTGCTATTATGCCAACTGCTCCAAAAACCAAACCAGTTGACTACTGTGGGGTATTTGCTTGATGCACTGTTGCTTCCTATGAATGTGTTTATGGTTTCCTGCTGTGGGATGTAGCAGCTCCTACAACTTTCCAAAACTGGCATTTCCAAATGTTTTGTCCAGCCAGGCCCCATTTTTTATCTGTCTCCTGACTCACCTTTTCAAAATCAGCCAGCGATCGGTTCTTACTGGCCTGTGCCACACATTTTAGTGCTTCTGTCTGCAGAGAAAGGAAACGAGAGTAGGTTATTTTTCTGGATTCTCCTCTCAGTGCTATTATGCCAACTGTGCAGTATACTGAAAACATGCTTAAGCAGCAAAGCGGGAATGTTCCTTTTGCCACAAAGCCACGTCAGTGTTACTTCCACACAGGCAGAGTAAGAACAGCTGCTAGTAAGGAGAACACGCAGAACAGCTGCAGGACACAGCATGAAATCAGCTTCATAGAAACAAAGAACTCAAGTTTTGCGAGGTTTGAGAATACCAGCTGCAGTTCCTATCAGGTTTCAGGTTGGGAGCAAGTTTGATACAATTTTTAAGGAAAGTGCACATTTTGGTACTTGCTTAATGAACGTGGCCATTTTCAGCCCTTAAGCTGTATTTCTGCCCTTCGGCATGCCACACTGCCTCTGCTGAGCAACAGAAGCACGGCAGAAGTCCTACAGATACCCTATCACGGACAGCATCAGAAAACGTTTCTTGTCTACCCCGCAGCTGCTGAAACAAAGCAGGAGACTCAGCCACAACCAAACTACCATATTTACACCAAACAGAATAGTAACACCACTAGAAGAACAGTTTCCACGTGGTGAGAGGCACAAGTGCACGAGACAAGCAGGACAGCCCGGCAGCTGTGGTGCACAAGGCTCAGGCTTCTGCCACCATCTCTCCCACCGAGCTGTCCCCGAGGCTGCCCACTTTCTCTCTGCTCCCTAAGCTCAGATTCCACAGCTGCTCAGGAGGACAGTGCAGGGAACAGCTGAGAGATCCTCCATGGTAGACTGCCCTCTTGCTCTGAAAAGGAGCCTCCAACCCAGCTGTCACTCAGGGGAAGGGGATGAAGCAGGACCAGGGCTGCCCTTCGTGATCCAGCAGGGATAATGCAGGGAAATTCCCACTTGAGACTCTTTTCTACGCACATATCCTCACTGACCTCCTCTACTAAATAGCTTCCCCAACCCTCTGTGAGGTGGGCGAGTATTAGCTGCTGCGTCAAAGTAAATAGCTGGCTGACCAAAGCCACCGAGGACATCAGTGTGTAAGCCTGGCTCAGACCCTGGCACGCTTGGCTTTTGGCCCTGTACTTTGTATAAGCATCCCTGGATTTAATACGGGGGTGGCGTTCACAGACTGGCAGCTTAATATGTTAGAATAAACAGTTGATTTAACAACTCCCCAGCTGCTTGGCTCCCACCTTGCAGTCATCTAGGTCTCAAGCTGCTCAGCTACACTGCCATGAATGGATTTTCAGGACTTGCTACACCACCAGTAAAAACAACGAATAACTCGGATTTAAATACATCAGATCTGTGGCTGCCGAGCAGTTGATGAGGGTTGAGACATGAGTACCTTATGGCATTAGGCATTTAGTAGATCATGAAGAGAGCAGGGAGGAGAAAAACAGAGAAAATGAAGCGAGCAGGCCAGGTTCTCAGGTGGTCAAAATCGCTGTATTCCCTTTGACTGACTTATGGTAATTACTTATGGTAATTTAATCAGTTCTGGATCTCGTTCAGGACACTCAAAAGTGAAGAGTATTTTGGGATGAAAAGACCAAAGTATGTGATAAGAACAACACCACAATATTCTCAGAGGTAATACGAAGATAGAAAGGATTAAGTTTCTATACCTGTCTTCCTGCATACCGCAGAGCAAGCTTTCCACTCACTAATGCTTGCACATCTTCTGGGCTAGAGAGGGGAGGGAAGGGAAGAGAGCACTTATTGAACAACATCGTCAACTTAAATCTAAGTGTGCCTCAAAAATTCCCAATTGATAGCAAATTACTACAATTCAAACAACATTGTATCAGAAGCATTGATTAAGTCATAAATAAAGACAAACAGCAAAGCTTGTCTGCTTGAGTTCTTTCATTAGAGTCTTATAAAGGAAGAGCCTTTCCCATTTAAATGTAGGAAGTGGTCTTCGCAGAACCATTTGTCACGTACATGTTCAGCATGATTTTGCACAGCAACATGTATTTCAGTGCAGTGATGGCTTTTGGGTTGTCAATTGAATCGTATCCCTCAAACGCCTCGTAAAAATATGAATAGGCTGTTTTCCAGTCCTTCTCTTCTGCTGCATGGATAATACCTGTTGAGAGGAATAAACAGGCAAGCATCAGAGTTAATTGTGAATGTGACTGGAAGAGGACAGAACAATTTGGTTGCCCTTCACATGGTACTTCAGTAAAGGGAATCCTTTCTTTCTAGCAGAAGAACATCCATGCCCTCTCTGAAGGGGACATGTTAAGAAACACAAGTTCGGGGCACTTCAGGTAAGTGCCTGCAAATTAGGTCAGGAATGTTACAGTTACACTAACATGGTGTAATGCTGTAGTGCCTAGGGAGGTTACGGACACTCCACCACTGGAGGTTTTCAAAAATAGGCTGAAAAAAACATGTGTCAGGAACAATGTAATTATAGCTGATCCTGCCTTGAGGCAGCTGGGCAGACTGGTAGGTATCTTGAGGTCCCACCTAGCATCATTTTCTATGATTCACTCAGGAAAGAACAAATATCAGTCAACTGATGCATCATGATGAGTCCTAGACCTTCCCCTCTCCTGAAGAGCTTTACCTGACTGCATGTCTAACGCTGCTTGCAGCTTAGGTGGACAGTAGATTGCGTTGGCTGTAGTCCGTGCAGAGGTTAAGGCTGCTCTTGCTTTTGGCAGATTGCTCAGGGCATGGTAAGTCTTACTTTCTAACAGCTGCACTTCCACCAGCAATGCCTTGTCGTCCATCTTTTTCAATTCCCGAAGAAGCTGGGAGCCTAGCAGCGGGGAAGAACAAGAACCTTTGTAACCTGCTCTGCATCTGCTGTCAACGACTTCACAAACCAAGCCTTTCCAGATGACACCCTTCTTCCCCCACAGCAGTACTGGCTTTGAGGAAGGGAGGCTAGGCTTACACAACCTGTTCTTCCAAGAAGGAAGAAAGGAAAGGAAATAATAGTAGGTCAGTGTCGGTCCACAGTTGGAGAAGAATGAACCAGTTCTATATTAGAGGTGGAAGAGGGCAGTGAGAATACTTGGGTACGTGGACTGCATCTCTGCCACCTCATCATGGGCAGCAGACACTCAGCAGAAAGTCAAGGATGGGTTGTGCAGTTCAGATGGTCACTCTGGTGCCCCTTCCCCAGATGACAGCATGATTTACCAGTCGCATTCAGAGCTCCAAGCAAACCTGACGTACTGCCCATTCCTGCATCGTTCCCCTAGGGTGAGACCTGAGGATTTTCAAGCAACTCCTGAGAATATGGGATGAGGAAGGAATGTTTTAAGCACAAGACATCCACAGATCAAATTTAGGAGGTAGGAACGGACAGCCTAAGAAATGCCTAGATAAACTGTCACATTAAAGCCTTGTGAGGACAGAAAGAGCCAGCCTTAGAGGAAACTCTTCCCCTTCTTTCCCCCCCGCTACCAACTAAAGAGCTAACTTAGGGCAAGCAGAGACGAGAACCTCATCCTCACTTGATGTGCTTAGAAGCTGAAAACCACAGCTGAAACTGCATAACTAGGTGGAAGAGAACGGCCTCTCCCTAGAAACATCCCATAGAGACTCTCTGCTTGCACCTACTCCCCACTGTAGGTGACATAACCATGTCTTGGCCAGCCACACAGAAATGCTAGCGCACAACGCTGACATCTGAATAGAGCTTTCAGAGAGGCTGTCCTATAGGTACAGGCCTTCACAACTCCCTAAGCTGTACCACCATCATTAATTAACTTAATTAAGCAAAGCTTTGGAGTGTGGACTCTCAGGTTTAAACTGATCAGTTCATTACATATCCGTATGCAAACTAATTTTAACTTGATACTGAATTCCATGTATCAGAGCACTTAACATAACTTGATATTCTGATCAGATACAAGTCACCCAGGCGACTCTGGACATGACACATGCTCTTGCCACCACACTGTTTGAGAAGTTATGGGTCCCTGGTGAGGCATCACCACTGCCCGGGTGAGCACTTCTGTCCGTGTCAGCGCAGTCATCCCTCAGCCCGGCTCATACCCACGCGCTGAGCTGGCAGAGCAGCCTGTACAAATACCCTTTAGCCAGCTTAAACCTCATCTTACATTACTGCAGTCATTTGCAAAACGAGCATTTGTAAAGCACCGAAGGGAGCTGGGCCGTGTAAGATGACCTGCTTTACTCTGCTTTGTAGCAGAGTGGGAGAGTTCACATGGTTAATTACCATATCTCAGGTGGTGCAGACGCAAGTTCTTAAAGCCTTTACACTACTTCACAAGAGCTTGTCTAATTACATCCTTAGAGGTTTGCCGCTTTCTGGCATTGATACTGCTTTTATTGAGGCTGTATTTGAGCAAACTGAAGAAAGCCGTTTTTTCCCTTGAACCTCTCTGACCACAGCAGTATACTACTTATGTTCCAGCAGGAGCCAAACCTGATGGCCTTCAACTGGATACAGCTCTTCTTTGCCTCCAAAATTATTTTAAATGAACAAATGGTGAGGACAAAGAGATCCCTTAAAGCTTTTATCACCAAGCTATAGTAAAAGATGGCAGATGTGGTACAGCACCTAGAAATTAATGCCCAAGTCCTACAAAACTTATCAAAGAACATGACGTAGTCGATCATTTCCCTTGTCAGCCTCAAGACTAATTTCAAAGCAGAGAACTACTACCACCACCTAGTGGGAGACTTACCTAGCTGCAGTGCTTCTTGGTACCTCTTGGTATCGAAGTACAGAGAGACCAGCCTCGCCTGGAGAACAGAAAAGGAACTGCTGTGAGGAAAGCCAGAGAAAGGTAGTACAGATTTATTTTGTAAAATGAAACTTTATATTCTTATCTGCACAGACTTCACTAAATTAGTTTGCATTCATTACACCATACGGTCCAATTCTGCAAGATCTACCATTTGAAAGATTGGCTAGATCTAAACACAACGGGTGAAATCCTGCCTATTCGAGGAGAGACACTAACTTTAGTGTAATTGTTATCACCCGTCCATTACACGTGGACAAAAGTCTGGACAACACACTACAACACTCTACTTTTATAGCTATTAAATCTGATAAAGGGAAGACGCTATTACACAGGTTTGGGATCCGCAATGTAACGTACCTCCAGAGCCTGGCGTAGGAAAGTCCTCTTCTCTGATTTGGCCCATTCAATACACTCTAAACACAGGTCAACCTTAAAGGGAGCAGAAAGAAATTTGTAAAGCCTTCTGCTGCCCCTCTTTAAAACAGCAGTATGGTTCAATCATTTCCTACAAAGCAACAAAAATACAACAAAGCCTGAATCTCCACGATGTAGTTTAAGAACATAAGTCATTCCTGTCTGAACAGCAGCATTGCTAAACATCAACTTAGCTTTACTTTAAAATGAGCCTGGAGATTAGCTAGCAGCCTTCATCATTAGTGCCTACCCCAAATCTGTCTGAACGACACCTTTAACATTACCAGGGTAAAGCGTAGGTCACCATTGATGAGAACTGCAGCTCAACAGTGGAAGGTTAAGCGACTTCTCTTCAACAAGGACTCACTGGTAACCACACACTTTAGCCTCAGGCTGCATCATGTTGACATCAGAGTTTACACTCACAGAAGCGTCCCACAAAATGATATGGAACAGCTAAATTGTGCTACATATTTTCATATTCTATTTGCTAGATTAACTTCCTGCACTTTGTAACAACGTTCACAGTACTATAGTACAGCATTACATGTATTGCAAGAGGAAGTAAAGTTCAGAAGGCAAACTAAGGTTTAGTTTAAGCTTTAGCCGTCACCAAAAATCCCCAACAGACCACCTTCTTTGATTGCTTTTCTAATGCATTTGGTTTCCAATAACTTTTTCTGACCACCAGGGACAATCCTCCCACACTGGAATATGAAAATAAAGATTCGGTTTCCAAAGTTTCACCAGTAAAAATTACTGCTGAAATCCTAATAGCGTTTCTTGAACAGCTGTGACTTTGTCTGAAATAAAAACATCTGGGTACATGAGAACTGATTCTGCCTTAGGGCAAGGGATGAACCAAAAGACTCTGAGGTCCTTTCCAGCGTGTTTTGCACCATTTCATTCGGCCATAGAGAAAAATGTATTTTCAATTGCTCTAGAAAGAAAGGAAAATGAAGTGCATGTGTTTTAGGGCCTAAATATAGAGTCATAGAATCATTTAGGTTGGAAAAGACCTCTAAGATCACCAAGTCCAACCGTTAATCTAGCACTGCCAAGTCCACCACTACACCATGTCCCTAAGCACCAAGTCCATAAATCTTTTCAATACCTCCAGGCACGGTGACCCCACCACTTCCCTGGGCAGCCTGCTCCAGTGCTTGAGAAGCCTTTTGGTGAAGAAATTTTTCCTAATATCCAATCTAAACCTCCCCTGGCACAACTTGAGGCCATTTCCTCTGGTCCTATCGCAGTTACTTGGGAGAAGAGACCGACACCC